CTAATGAGTCATCCAGCCTAACAACAACAGATTTAGTAGACACTAGTTGGATATTCGCTCTAAGCTGCATTCGGACAACCATTATATACATAAAGTCATCGATTTATATGACGTGGTGCGGGTAAAAATATTATTTCTCATAATTAATGTAAATCAAATTTATTTACTGATCAAAATTGTTTGATATATATAATAATCAATAATATTAGCATAAAAAGTTATATTTGAATAATTAAAAAATTCTTTCATAACATTATTTCAATTATTTTATTTAAAAATTATTGATTTTACAACATAAAAAAGAATAAATAACAAATAATTGGTGTTATGTGTGTAAATACATAATTAATTTCCAACAAAACTAATGATATATATTTTAATTATTTTATTTAAAAAATATTGAGTTTAGAACATAAAAAAATAAAAAATAAATAATTAGTGTTACGTGTGCGGATACATTATTAATTTTCAACATATATATATATATATATGTGTGTGTGTGTGTGTGTGTGTGTGTGTGTGTGTGTGTGTGTGTGTATTAACATGTATGTATGTATATTATGATTACACTTAGTAGATTCAGAATATATAGTATAAATAATTTTTTTTTTAAAAAAACCATCTAAGTTGTATGGAATATATTAAAGTCAATAAATTAAAATAAAAACTACTACAAAATTGGTTTTTATAAATTTTACTTCTTAAGTTATGATGAAAAAGATTATTGAATTGCAAATTAAATTATAAATTAGTTCTTCTTATTTTTTTTTAAAAAGAATTAATTCTTTTGGTTTAAAAAATAAATTTTTTTTTAATTTTTTTAATTAGTGTTGACCACTAATAATTTATTTTTATTTAAAATATATATATATTTTTTCATATTTTTACTTTTTTTAATTCTTTCTCTTTTTCTTAAAACAAAGCATAAAAAAATTAAAATAGCAAAAAGGACAAAAAAATTAGTTTTTGAATTGAAGGGATTGATGGTGTTATGTATGTAGACACATAATTAATTTTTAACAAGACTAATATATATATATATATATATATATATATATATATATATATATATATATATATATATATATATATATATATATATATATATATATATATATATATATATTAAAATAAAAAATATTACAAAATTAGTTTTTATAAATTTTACTTCTTAATCTATGATGAAAGAGATTCTTGAATTGCAAATTAAATTATAATTTGGCTCATCTCATTTTGAGAAAGGAAATAATTAATTCTTTTGTTTTCAAAAATAAATTAGTTAATTTTTTTAATCAATGTTGACGAATAATTTTTTTTATTCTTTCTCTATTTCTTTAAAAAAAAAACCATTGAAATAGCAAAAAGGACAAAAAAAAAATAGTTTTGAACTAAAGGGATTAATTAATTTGTTTCTCGAAGAATGAGGGACTAATTTATAATCACTCTTGAATAACAAGTGTGGCTTTGGCTTCCTTATCGAAAATAAGAAGAAAAAACATTAAAAGAAGACAAGAGCATTAAATGCTCAATCTGAAAAAAAATAAAATAAATAAAATAATAAAAAAAAAGGAAATGATGAAAAAAGGCCCAAAAAAATTAAAAAGAGAATTAGTCAAGGATAAAAATGGAGTTTCTCAAATCCATCTTGTAGCAAAAGAGAAATTAACAAAAAGGCGGAGGGTGAAAAATCAAGCAACACAATGAATGATGAATCTAATTCGAAACAATAATAAATGAATAGTAAATATCTCAATTCTTTTAGTTTTTTTCCTACTAATATATATTAACTTAAAAATAAAAGATAAAAATTTTATTTAATTTTATAATTTTCAATCAAATTTTGTATTTCATTCGTGCTTCTTTACATTTTTCATAAATTTTATTGTTAAAAAAATATGATTCATTTTTTTTAATTATTCATTCTTAAATAAAAACCTACAATAATATAAATATAAAATTTTTAAAAATATCTTAATATTTTTTATAAGATTACATCGGAAGAATATATCAACAATCAATATAAAAATTATATAAAAACTAACTAATGAATCCTTTTAAACTTTTTTAAAATATGTACATTTGATATATAGACACACATACAAACACAAACACACAAAACAATCAATAATATTAGGTATAAAAGCATGTATTTGAATTATTATGTGGTTCTTTTAAAATATTATTTTATTTAAAATAAATTAAATTTAGAATATTAAAAATAATTAATAGAAAATAGTTGATGTTATATGTATAGATGCGTAAGTAATTTTTAATAAAATCAATGATCTTAATACTTTTTTGTATACGTCATTACCATACTCGTTCAAATTAAAAAATATGTTTAAAAAACTTAAGTCTGTGAGAAATATATTAAAGTTAATAGAGTGTACTAAAAATAATTTAAAATTTTATTCCAAATTTTTTTTATATATTAAGAATAAGGTAAAGAAACACGTGAATTCTATTATTTATTAAAAAATATATTAAAAATTCATACGCAAAAAAAGATAAATCATATTTATTAGCAAATAAAATTTCATAAAAAATAAAAAACTTAATTTGATGAGAATTTTTATAATAAAAAAAATTTAAGAGATTAATTTTAATCAATAAAAAAAATATAACCCGATATATGTGTTTGTTCTAAAATCGAAAAACATAAGAGGTCAAAAACATCTTTTAAAAATAAGATGAACAAAAAATATATTTTGAAAAAATGCGAGACAAAAATGGATTAAGTTAAAAACATGAGATGTCAAAATATTTTTAAAAATATGAGGATTTAAAAATACATTTTGAAAACATAAGGGACTAAAAAAGAATGAAGTGTAAAATTTGAAAATGAATTTCTAAAAAACAATAAAAAAATTACGAAAATGTCATTGTAAAAAATCACAAAATTACCACTATTTGAATAATAATAAATGATGAAGTGAGACGAATAAACGAGTAAATGAATAGTTTTTTCTGTTCATTTATCCCAATTCTTTTAGTTTTTTACTTAATAGTGTGACCGACGCCATGCCCCACCAAACAACGAGCACAAAACTTGAAGAAGACTTGCCAACCTCATGTATTACAGTATAATTTCGATGATTAAGACAACGGATAGTCTCATCGGAAGAACAGATCCCCTCAATGATGTATTTTCTTACAAATAAGAAGACGAGCATTAAATGCTCAATCTGGAGGGAAAAAAAAAAAGAAGAAGAAAATGACAAAAAAAGGGCCAAAATATTAAAAAGAGAATTACCCAAGGGTAAAAATGGATTTTTCGCAAATCCATCGAGTAGCAAAAGAGAAATTAACAAAAAGGGAGGGGGTGAAAAATCAAGCAATTTAATGAATGATGAATCTAAGTCTAAAACAATAGTAAATGAATAGTAAATATCTTAGTTCTTTTAGTTTTTTTTCTACCAATATATATTAAATTAAAAATAAAAGATAAAATTTTTATTTAATTTCATAATTTTTTATCAAATTTTGTATTTTATTCATGCTTCTTTATGTTTTTCATAAATTTTATTGTTAAAAAAACATGATTCATTTTTTTTTAATTATTCTTTCTTAAATAAAAATCTACAATAATTTAAATATAAAATTTTTAAAAATATCTTAATATTTTTTTAGAAGATTACATCGAAGAAATATATCAATAATCAATATAAAAATTATCTAAAAACTAACTGATGAATCCTTTTAAACTTTTTTAAAATATGTATATTTGATATATAGACATACACACAAACACAAAAACACACAAAACGATCGATAATATTAGGTATAAAAACATTTATTTGAATTATTCTGTGGTTCTTTTAAAATAAAATAAATTTAAAATATTAAAAATAATTAATAGAAAATAGTTGGTGTTATATGTATAGGTGGATAATTAAATTTAGAATATTAAAAAACATATATAGACACACACATAAACACAAACACACAAAACAATCAATAATATTAGGTATAAAAACATATATTTTAATTATTATGTGGTTCTTTTAAAATAAATTAAGTTTAGAATATTAAAAATAATTAATAGGAAATAGTTGATGTTATATATATAGATGCATAATTAATTTTTAATAAAATCAATAATCTTAATACTTTTTTGTATACATCATTATCATACTCTGTACAAATTTAAAAAAATAAGTTTTAAAAAATTAAGCCGTGAGAAATATATTAAAGTTAATAGAGTGTAACAAAAATAATTTAAAATTTTATTCCAAAAAAATTGTTTATATTAAGAATATGGTAAAGAAATATGTGACTTTTATTATTTATTAAAAAGCATATTAAAAATTTATACACATAAAAGATAAATTATATTTATTAACAAATAAAATTTCATAAAAAATAAAAAAACTTAATTTGATGAGAATTTTTATAATAAACGACAAATTTAAGAGATTAATTTTAATCAATAAAAAAAATATAATTCGATATATGAGTTTGTTCTAAAATCTAAAAACATAAGAGATCAAAAATATCTTTTAAAAATATGATGAACAAAAAATATATTTTGAAAAATATGAGACAACAATGGATTAAGTTAAAAACATGAGATGTCAAAATATTTTGAAAAATATGAGAATTCAAAAATATACTTTGAAAACATAAAAGATCAAAAAGAAATGAAGTGTAAAATTTGAAAATGATTGTCCAAAAAACCTATGAGAAAATTATAAAAATATCATTATAAAAAATCATAAAATTATCATTTTTGTAAATAATAATAATAAATGATGAACGGAGATAAATAAACAGTAAATGAATAATTTTTTGCTATTCATTTATCCTAATTTTTTTAGTTTTTTACTTAACAGTGTGACTGACGCCATGCCCCACCAAACAAAGTGCACAAAACTTGAAGAAGACCTGCCAACCTCACGTACCACAAAAAATTTCGATGATTAAGACCACACAGTCTCATCAGAAGAACAGATCCCCTTAATGACGCATTTTCTTACAACTAAGTAGTCACGACAACTCCAATGACCTTTAATTACCTAATAAGGTGCTCCCAGTCCCAGAATGAGATTTGGGGAGGACAATTGGCTCTTCAATCTCGAGACAAATCCAGAAGTCCTTTCACTCACATAACATTTGTTAGTAAAATATTTCTATCTCATGTGCACATATGCATCAAGTACAGAATTCGAACATGTATCTAACCTTAACCAAAAAATTTTTTGGAACTTTAAGATTTGCTTCTCTGCATTGTAAGATTTTTTTCGATAAGTAAAAGATTACTTCAAGATTACTTGATAATTAAATTCAAAACCCACTTGAGAGTTAATTAACCAGGACCATAATTGACTACTAAATTATGAAAATGCTGTTGTTGACTAGGGAACCATGAGGCAAGCTTTGATTTTAGCATACGTTATGATGACTTGGCAGGACGAAGTAGATCTCCTTCTATCTGGCAGGCAGAGCTTGGCTGGAAAATTCACTTGGTCTGAGTGCCTCTAGCAGTCTAGCTTGGGAGAAACCTTGAGCTAGCTGTCTAAGTTTAGACTTGAGAATTTGGGGGAGACATTAACAGAGAAAGGTTGGACAAAACTTTCTTAGGACAGAGTAGCAGCAGTGAATTTAGGTTTTGGGAGTTGCTGGCTTTTTATGCTATTCTTTTTTATATTTTATGAAGATGGCCATTCGGACATGAGCTTCACAATAGGTAAAGAAGGACACAAACTTTACTTTTACCATCTAAACAAACAAGCAAGGACTTCATCTTTAAAACTAACACCTGCATTTATAACAAGATATTGCTTCCAACACTGCTGCTGTTTTCACCAATCCATCACCCCCATCAGCAACTTTAGTTCATTTTGTTGAAAACAGCCATATCTAACTCGTAATATGATCATCTAGCTCTACCGTATCATTGCCATCATTTCCACCATGGCACTGCCAGTGCATCAGCACCAAATTTGTGGAAATGCATTCCACTTTTATGCCTAGTTAACCACTTAACCTTGCCATTGCTTTCAGGATCCAAACTAGTGCTAGCACCTTTGTATTCTCTAACAACACAGCATCAGATTAAGTGGCATTTCAAGCATTCCAACCATAACAATCTACAGCCCTTTCTGAACTCCTGCCTTTACTATCCCACCAAAATCCCAACCAAGCTCTACCTATTGACGTTCAAAATCATTGGAGGAAAATAGAAAATTGTGAACATTCAAGATATATAGGGTCCAAAAGCTCCAAGTCCTCAAACTTCCACAAACTCAAAGCTTGAATTTTCAAACAGAGGAGCAATTTACTGCCAACTGCCAAGGCATTGAGTCAATATGATCGCGCAAGGGAACCTTCTGATTGTGTTGATACACCTCAACCTTCATATTTGAACTTCCCACAACTCTTAATGCTAGTGAATAACCTACTTCTCCTTGTGGTTGATCCCCTGTGTGAATACAACCTTAGTATCAAGTACTAAGCCACACTGACATCCAATTCTATCACTCCTGACAAGAGCAGATGACTGCTCCTACCATTTTCACCAAACGGCATAACCTCAACTTACACAGCACACCAAACAGCCTGTGTGAATCAATTCTGACGCAGCATAATATTAATACTCAACATGTGGGATTTAAAAGAGCATCATTTCTTTCTCAAAAATTGATGTCATGTTCAGTTTTTCATGAAAACATCATCCAATTCTAAATTTTTAATGCTTCCAATTGTTCAAGTGAAAATGTTAGAGAGCACAACCGGCAACCCATATTCTCAAACTAGGGGCTGAGCAGGCCCCTTGACTATATATATATATATGTATGTATGTATGTATGTATGTATGGCTATAACACATTCACACATGCCTTCACTATCAGTAAGGGATTACTTAAGAGTCTCGTCATAAGCATGCTTAATAGAACTACAAAATTCACATGGTATAGTTCATAACAACGAACGAAGTGACATAGAGCTTAGGAGGATCATACATGAGTCAGTTTAAATGCCAAAGAAGTCTAGAATTGCATTCAAAATTCAACTGGTTTTCTTTTAGGTACCAGCTATTAGGTACCAGCTATTGTAGATTGAGAATGAGTGGAACTCTGTTTCTCAAATGAATATAGACCTAGAGTGTGGTAACCAGAGAAATTTATAATGTAAATTGTGATGCTTGGAGAGAGTTTCAGATATTTTACTCAAAGAGGCTTCACTGCAATAGCCTAATCCATCCCACCATAAAACTAAAAATTAAATAACCTCAAAAACCTTAAAATGCTGCTCACAATACGCTGATAGATTTTGAAACAATACTTAAAAATTCTAAGTTTATTTCACTCCAAATTCAGCACCCTTACAAACTCCAATCCAGTCAACAAATTTTCAAATCTATAGCCGTCTTTTAGGAACTGAAATTCAATTAAAAACGTCTTCTATCAGTTTCAGGACTACAAAGAATCCTTCTAGCTATCCTCCATCATTTAATGGAAGAAGGGACATAGCATAAACAGGCCTAGCAAGTAGAATAACGATGGCAAAAATAAAAAAGTAGATATTTATTAGACCATCCAACCTAAACGTGAAAACCAACGGAAGAAGAGACCTATGCATGATAGAAATCCATCGACACATGACTGATATGCATTGACTGAGCAAAATAAATTGCTGTCCCCACATCAACCATAGAAGGACTTAAATTATCTTCTTTTTTTTACAACCTCTTGAACGAAAAAGAAGCAATATATCCTCTAAGTTCCTAGAGTGAACAGACATATTTGGATTCTACAACAACTGTGACAATTAAAAAACAAGTTCAACTACAGCAGAGAGATGCAAAAAGAGCATGATTGGCAGGTGATATGAATTCTTGAATGGAACTAAAAGGTGCCCCATATATTCTAAGTTAAAAGATAAGGCACCAGAAATCATTAGTTACCTCTTATTCCAACATCTAACAAGCAAAACTCATCCACATATACTAATGTATTTTTCAAAACACCAGCAAGAATACCAACTTATCATTTGATGAAACCGTACCATCTTGCCAAAACTAAGACGGACTAGTAAATAACACTTTTTTTAAACAACCTCTCAAAGGAAAAAGAAGAAATATATCCTCTAAGTTCCTAGAGTGAACAGACACATTTGGATTCTACAACAACTGTGATAATCAACAAGTTCAACAACAGCAGAGAGATGCAACGAGAGCATGATTGGCAGGTCATATGAAATCTTGAAATGGAACTAAAAGGTGCCCCATATATTCTAAGTTAAAAGGTAAGGCACCAGAAATCATTAATTACCTCTTATTCCAACATCTAATTAGCAAAACTCATCCACATATACTAATTTATTTTTCAAAACACCAGCAAGAATCCCAACTGATCTTTTGATGAAACCGTACCATCTTGCCAAAACTAAGACTTACTTGTAAATAACACATTTATCACTAACAATGTGGCGAGCCTCAAGCAACTACCTAACAAAATCGGAGACTAGGTCATGGGTAAGCCATAAACACTCATTCATTTAAACAAGTTGCAATAACCGCATAAAGAATGAGGCGGCCAGAGTCACTAAAATAGATTTTTATTTCAAATCTATGCTAAATCAGATGAAATTGAACAAGCATACATAAATAATATAAGAATCAAGGAAATCTCTTAAGAACCAACAGTGAAAGAAAGAAAAATTCAATCGCATATAATTTAAAAGATCAGTAGAAAAAGAAACTTTGAGGCATGAATCTATTAAAAAAACTCTCATCTACTACATCATTTTCCCTGGCATCCATAAGTTTGAAACGGCTAAGACTAGACTACAGGCAGAAAGAGGATAAAACAACAGTCATGGTGCCAAAAAGGCACCATTTCAAAATCATTGAATGTGACAAAAACTCATCAACTACAATCTACATTGCAAGCCTCTGCCAAGACCAGATACATATATACATACGAATACAAACATGTTGGGTTGCAATGTAGGGCAATAGAAAGATCCACATGATACATCTACCTTATAGTGACAAACTTGTTTGTGCCATGTTTAGCCCAGTGAGTTCTCAGATCAATCGGATTAGAAAAGTTATAGCCTTCACCAGCAAGTTTCTCTAACACCTTCTTAAAAGCTCCTAAACTCATCTTTCTACCTGCTATCCTTGCACCACGCCGTTTTGTACTCATAGGCAAGGGATACACAGATATGCATGTTGTACAACATGCCGATTGCCACCCACCACAACCCCAGCGGTAGCATTGTTGGGGGTGACCAGTACATGAGCAAACTGGTATAGGAATGACTGAAATGTCCATATTGATCCCATTTATCATAATTTCAGTGGTTTTCTTGGCAGACCTTACTCGTTGAACAGAAGGACTGCCCTCAGGCTTGGGTGCTTGAGGGCCTCTCTTACCCTTCTTTGGTTTTGGGGTTTTCGGGGCTTTAGGACGCTGCCTCTTTTTATTAGGACGGTGTACCTTTTCAAGAACACCAGCCTCTTCAACTTGCTCCAGCTTTTCATCGTTTGCCGAGTAAGGTGGTTGATACATTTCCATGTGATGAGCTGAAGATGTTTCAGGCAAAACCGCTGCATAATTATGGTTTCCAGGCAACACGTTGAGAACTTTTTCTCTCTGGCCAATCCAAGCTCCCCTCGTGTACTCCATGGGGAGCATGGGCTGCGAAACCCCAATATCTCTATGGTGAAAACCTCCATTTGCACTTGTCATGATCGCAGCACTGCGTGTACCCAAAAAGGGTTTCTCGGGCATTGTTGGGGACATGAGCTGAAGACCCAGATTTCCTTTAACTGCTGTTGGTTCATAGTAACCCCAATTACGAATATTCAAACTATTATCTTCATCCATTATTTCAAACCTGGACAATTGAAGATAGCTTATTTAACCTTAACACAATTTGTTGTCAGCATTGTGTTGTTCACCTAAAAATCGTCAAAAGATTACAGACACAAAAATTAATGCAAACTCAAATCACAGAAACCAAAAACATTAATAAGCAGATTGTCAATTATAGAAAAGTTCGTGTCTTTAAACTAGCAGAAGTCTCAATTAACAGAACTAGTAAGGCAAAAACGGAAAAAAAAAACATATTGGTCACAGTAAGAAAGTGAGATCTTCTAATTTTTGGATTTGTCTGAGAATTTATTTAAGTGAATAGACAGCCATGGAGTAGTATTTTAGGAAAGATGAAGCAACTTACTTGGAAGAAAACGAAGAGAGCTTTTTAGGGTTCTTCTCCTCCATTAAAGAAGCACGAAATTGAAGTTATGCACGCCATTTTTGGGTGTAATTACTTTTTAATCATTTTTGAACCTGCTCCTTATCTAGGAATTTGAGAATGTTTGTAAGCATTGCATTAAATCGATTAAATATGGATTTATCTTCCTCCAATCCAATAATAATTCTATTCGAAATTAAAAGTAATATTATTATAATAAATAAAATATTAAAAATTTGAGACCATTACAATAATAATAAAAAAAGCTAAACAAAAAATTTTATATCCAAAAAATCAATAAATTTATTTTTAAATCTCTTAAAAACAAAATAGTATTTTTCTTCTATCAAATAGTTAACAATTTTTTTTTTTTACCAAAACACTCAACATTTAGTTAACTACTCAGTGTTTTGGTTAGAAAATATTTTTCTCATCAAACATCAAATAATTAATTAGTTATTTTTCTTATTAAAACAATTAGTAGTTAATAGTTAAGTGTTTTGATTAGAAAAATATTTTTATTATCAAAACACTAAATAGTTAATTTATTATTTTTTTATCAAAACATCTATTAGTTAACCGTTAGTTAACTAGTGAATGTTTTAGTTAGAAAAATATTATTTTTCATTTGTGATATTTGAAATAAATTAATAGTTTTTTTTATCCCGATCAAGTTCAGATTTTTTTTTATTGCAATAAAAAAAAGTTTATTTAGGTTCTTTTAGTGCTGACCCTTCTCTTATTATGCTAAAAAATTCTCTCTAAAGAAGTCGATCTATTTTCTTCTATCGATTGTTTCATCAACTAAGGAGATAGATTGACTACCTAGTAGCTATAACGAGCTTATACAATTTAACTAATTATATATTTGATGAAATGAGACTTATGGTCTTCTCTTGTAATTTAATTTAAGAGATATTATACAAATAAAAAAATAAAAAATATGTATGATTATAAACATTTGTGATTTCTTAAATCCTAATATATTGATAAAAAATTTTTTTTACGTATATTGAGATCCTGTACAATTCATATTTTTTTATCGAAATCCTAAATTTTTTTCTATCTAATTTAAGAGTTCTACTCTTATGTCTTTATTGCTTCAAACCTTAATGTATCACGTAAGCATATGTGGCAAGCTTTCAAGCTTTAGCTAATGAAAGCTTGCCACGTAAGAATTTTTTATTTTCATTAAAACCCAATTTGGGTCCACCATGACACGTGGCAAATGTCATTGACTATAACTTGTCATCCGTGTTTACGTGACACATTAAAGTTTGAAACAACAACAACATAAAAATATAACTCTTAAATTAGACATAAAAAAATTTAAGATCTCAATTAAAAAAATTTTGAATTATACAAGTTCTTGATATGAGCAAAAACTAAAAAAAATTATTAGTCTTTAATTAATCAAAACTTAATACTTTTTATCCAACAATTAAATTAAACCACGCGATAAATTTATAATATATTTTGGTGTATTTATTAAATAAAACATGATCATACATAATATAAATATATATCTTCAAAAGATAATCGTTTTATTAAAGTTAGGATAATTACTAAAAAAGCTGTCTAAAAAAATCATTCATCTAAAAAAATTTATCAATTTATTTTTAAATTTTCAAATTCAAAATAATATTTTTCTTCCAAAACACTCAATAGTTATCGGGTGCCTTAACTATTGAGTGTTTTGGTAAGAAAAATGTTATTTTAGGTTTGATTAATTTAAAAATAAATTGATGGCTTTTTTTATTAAAACAATCATTAGAGGGTTAGTAATTCTCTCAATAAAATAATACATAAAAAAAGAGGACAAGACCAAAACCTCTCCACTCCTATTATTTCCCAACTCATTTTTTTTTCTACAAAAACTAGTTCTCTTTGTAGTTCCTTACTATCTTTGTTTCTCTTTTTTTCTCTCACTATCATTCTCGAAAATACCCAACAAAAATTAACCAAGCAATCCTTAGTTTTCATTCTCTTCTCTCGTTCAAGGAAGACATTGGTGGTATATGTGATTCTCCATCTTCTTCTTTCGAGTTAAAATTAGGTAACTAAATCTCTTCGCTTTTTATATTTTTTTAGTTTTTAGTTTTTTATGGATTTTTTATATGGGTTTTGTCAATCTTGTTGGTCGAGTTTTATATTTGTTTATGGTTTTTTTGTATATTTAATATTAAATTATTGTCTTTGACTAGATATGCTTGTTTAAACTTGACTTTTATATGGGCTATCGCACATGGCATAGGGGTTCTCTAATCTATTGCTTTTCTTTTTTTTCCTTTTTGTCTCCTTAATGGATGTAAGAGTTGTAATGTCAATTTTAAAATTCATTTTGGGGTTGAATTACAAAAAAGAGATAGTCTATCTTTTAGTAAAGAAAATGTTGTATTGAGAGAAAGAATATAGACCTTTTAATACAATTTAAAGGAAGTTCAATCGTATAAAACGTCCCTCTATTGTTGAAATTTTCGTAATGTGACCCGTCTACTTTTTTTCTTATTCATCCTGTCCTCGTACTCTTCAATTTTTCTTAATGTGGCCTCTCTTACTAAAATTCGATGATTATTTCGATTGGCGATGACGGATAGCAAAAAATTATCACGTAGCATGACACGAGATAAAAATTACCATGTGACCTAAAATTTTTACATGAAAAATCTGAAAAGAAAAAAAAAACAAAAGATAAAAACCATTTGATTTTTCTCTCTCTCACATAGTCGATCCATCGATCGAAGTTTGCTCCATTTTCCTTCGAAAAAAACTCTAATCCTCACACAATTGCCTTTGCTTTTCCGTGCACCATCGATTCCTAAATTTAAAAGCAATCGAACCCAAATATCTTTGATTATTCAATAGCTCGAATCCCTAATTTATGAAAATCCTCAATTGAAAACTCTAAATACCTTATCTAGTTTTTTGTGATCAAGTATCTATTATTGTTGGTTGAAGACATGTCTTTGTTGTCCCCTAACCAGTTTCAATTGATTCTTCATTTCTCTTACTTTGTATCATGATAAAGTGGACAACATAAAAGCTAAAGAATATTTGGCCAAAAAGGTAAGTTGTTTTATCCTCTATTTTTAGTTTATTATAGTCGTGTTATTTTATTTGTTGATCGAGTTGTGGTCCTTTTTGTTGCGAGGATTACTTAATAACATGATAAAGTATACATTGGTGGTCCTTGCTTTGTCGTTAGTTTGCCAACAAGGTAAGTAAATTTTATTCTCAATCAACTCGTTGTATATTGTTTTGGGACTCTAACCGTCTCATGGGTTGATCGTAGTTAGTGTTTTTCTTTATTGGTTATGTTTGACAAATGAAGACATTTGCTTTTCATCCGGGTGGGTGTGTGAAAAGATCAATGGTTTCAATGGGTTTATGGATTAAATAAGTTTTTGTGGGTCTATATTTGAGAAGAAAATATTAATCCGGAGTTATTGTGCTTTAGGACCCTTTTAAATTAGTAGAGGAATTTGGTAGAAAGGATATTGTGTTTGTGTATTACAACAATCCATTTACCATACCACGAGTCCTAATCTTTGTTTCTTAAGTTAGTTTATGATGATAGAAGTTTGATTGGATTGTTAAGCTTGATAGAAAAAGTTGAAAAGATTGACATTTATTATGGAAATGGAGGTAAAGACCACCTATTACTAAGCGAGGGTAATCTATTTAAAGTATGTCAAAGGCTAGGGATTACCGACCATGGTCATAGATTGGGTTTTGAAGATAGGAGAGAGGAATATAATTATGAATTAATTGATGATAGTGCAGTAAATAGAGAAAAATATGTAGTTGAAAACTTAAATGATATTGAATTTTTTAATAGTAAAGAAGTAGTTGGCGATGATTTAGTTGATATTTTACTAGGAGAAGAAAATTTAGGTGATGATAGTGTCGTTGATGATGAGGTTGGTAGGGAAGTGTCGGATTCATCTAAGAGTGAATATGTTGAAAATTATGGTGAATGAGTTTTTTACTATCGGTGGTTATCCGATGATGGAGATAAGGAATTACAAAACGCAAAAAATTAGTTTAGAAAAGCACATGAGAGAAGAAGTGGTTTAAATTTGGAGGGAAATTAGGTGTTAATTTAAAGGGAAATAAGGTCAAATTTTGGAGGGAAACTTAGGTGAGGATGGAAATATGGAAGGAAATGAGGCTACAAATGATTGTGATGACAAATTCTTGAATGTCCTTATAAAGGACAATGAAAAAATAGAAATAGAACATGAATATGACTTTGATGCAAGAGTTAGTATAGATAGCAGATGATGAGAATAATAAGAAGCGAGGGAGAATATGAAAATCCAAAAAGTGTTTTTCAACCCTAACACAACCGATTCATATTTTTAGGTTGCAATGATTTTTACTAACAAGAAGCAGTTTACTAATGTAGTGACTAAACATGCTTTAAAACATAGAGAGGATAAAAATTTTAAGAAGAATGATAAGAAAAGGGCTAGAGCATTATGTAAAGATGAGGAATGTGCCTTTAAAATTTCGTGTTTTTCACATGGTAAATCTAGAAATTAGATGGTGAAGACATGTGTGATAGAGTATAGTTATAGTAATGTTTACAAGAACAATCATTTGAGTTATAAAATTCTGGGTAAGTATT